CAAACAAAATGAAGATATTAAAACAACACATAACTACTCCTATGACTCAGGACCCAACACTTAGCATTGGCTTGTATGATCTGTAATTCTAGACATTCACTTGTTACTATAGATTAGTTACCACTGGCTATGTTACAGATTACTCCAACTTAATGGTTTAAATCAGCAATAAGTGTATATTATTAAGGTTTCTGTGGGTTGGGAATTTTGAAGTGGCTTATTTGGGTGGATCTAGCTTAGGGTTTCTCACAAAGTTATGATTTTGACCATGACTCTGTCCATCTAAAGAATTGAATGTGGCTGGAGGATCTGCTTTTTTAAGGTAGTTCACTTACTCTCTGGCCAACTTACTGCTGGTTGTTGCTAGGGATCCCTCATTTATTCCTCATGAGAAACTGTCTACATTGCAGCTGGAATATGTTCACAGTGTAGCTATTGGCTTCACTGGAGTAAGTGCCCATGAAGAGAAGGTCAAGTGTCTTTCGTGATCTAGTCTCAGAAGTCATGTACTGTAACTTCTGCATTCTGTTGGTCTCAGAGTACAACCATGATTCAAAATGGAAGAGGACTATACAAAGACATGAATAGCAAAGATAGGTGTCCATCTGTGACACCATCATAGTTTAGCAATGTTCAGACCTGAGAGAAATAACTCTCAATATCTCTTGTTTATTCATGTCTGAATGCCATGAAGGTTGCTATGTGGCATCACTGTCAATAATAGAAACAGACACTGCTCAAGACAGTGCTGAAGATTTTTGCAGGCACTGGAAGCACTATGGTAAGAGGAAAGATGAATTAAATATTTCTCTCAGCATAAATGCAATAGAATTTTGGGTAATGAACTACTGTTTCTTAGTAACGAAAAGCTTTTATTTTCTTGCTTCTCTTTTTGTTCTGCTTTATTGTTCCAGAGGTACTAGAATTAGTGCAGTATTTGCAACAGCTGCATCTAGAAACAAGAAACATTTTACAATATTAAACAGTTAATGTTATTCTAAAATTTGTGTCTACTATAGGCAGAGACACAAAGTTTAGGAAGCATGATAAAAGTTATTTACATTGGTAACTAGATTGATATGAAATTCTAGTTAGATGAAGTTTTAAAAATGCATTTATATTATACAAAATACATAAAATATTTGATTATATTTTAAAATGTCTAATTATTAATTACGAATTATTAATTACAATTTCTAGTAGAAAATAAAAAATGGTAGAAAAAGCTCCAGAGGTGATTTACTTAAATTTTAAAAAGTTAGAAACAATGCAAGTAGTCTTATATGCAACATCACTCTGGGATAAATTTGTCGGTGGAACTTTATGCATTCTCTATATCAAGAATTGAAATCTCCAATTGTATTAGTTTTCTGTTCTTTTGCTGTATAACAGATATCACAAACAGTGGCTTAAAACAGCATCCATTTACTCTCTCAGTTTTCATAGGTTAGCAGTTAAGATACTATTTAATTGTGTCTTCTGCTTAGGATCGTAAGGTTGGGATAAAAGATCAGCTGGCAGCATTATATTTGGAGACTTAACTGGAGAAGAGTTCATTCCAAGGGATGAGAAGAATTCATTTCCTTGAGGTTATAGAACTGAGGGCTCTCTCTTTTTTTTTTTTTTTTTTGCTGGCTCTTGGCTCTAAGCCAGTCTTACATCCTGCAGATTGTTCATGGTTCCTAGAGGTCAACTGCAGTTTCCTCTCATGTGGATGTTTCCAATGCAGGTGCTTGCTTAATCAAACTCAGAAGAGAAGTCCTTAGCTCCAGCCTGGAAAGAGGGGTTTGGGTTTGTATATGGTAGATAACCACATCAGTAACATCCCATCACCTTTGATATGTTCTATTAGAAGAACCAAGTCATAGTCCCCCCATGCTTACAGGCAGATTATCATACAAAAGCATGGACACAAGATACAAAAGGCTAGGAACTACCTACATTGATCAAACAGTGGAAATAAACAACCATAACTTGAAGAGGTTAAATGAAATCCAGAAGCATCATATCTTTATAAAATAAAATCTAACTGATCAAAGAAAGTCTCAAATAGATAATTATGCACAATGTAAAAGTTTCATGCAATTCTGGCATGCCCACTGGAAGATTATCACATTCATAAAATTGGCAAATTGGGTACAGGAGTGAAAATTTAATTTTCTGTGGATGATGGTCCTAGAAAATGGTCCTTACATCATTTTGCAATGCAAGGATGTTTCTATGAGATCACAATTTGATTTAAATTAATGGTTATAGTTTTACATTAAATGTTTGTAAATTTAATAATAATAAATGTAAATTTTCTCTAAGAAAAATTTTGTATTTCATTTGCAACAATTTTTTCAAGTGAAGAAAAACTCTTATAAAAAGAAAGGCAAAGTGTTTTTTATTATTCCATATTTCACAGCCAATCTTTAATATCATTTTTTACAACGAAGAACCATGACTGTAAACATTTAAATTCATTGTCAAAGGAATACAGACTCTCCCATATATTAAAAAACAAATTATAAAGTTACTAGAATTGAAATAACTGAATAAGCAGTGAACAAAAAATGACATTCAGCAGTAGAAAACATTGGCAGGACATTCTATAAATATGTTCAACATATATATTAAATTTCTGACATTAACAACTGTATTTCATAAAGCAAGAAAATGTCTAGATTTAGTAGAAATTGTTTGAAAAATTGATGATTCAAATGGTGAACATGCAAAAAGGATAAAAATAATACAACAAATTACATCCCTTTAGCATAGGGAATTTAAAAATGAAAAACATTTTTTGGGTAGTAAACTGACAGGAGTATTAATACATATAATACTTAAAAAAATTAAAGTGGAAATTAGTTCAATTTGTTTCAACAGTAAAGTCAAGTTGAACAGGTGGTCTTTATTACACATACTAGTGAACTACCAGGAGAACAAAATCAGTATTTTATTTTTATTTTGGTTGTATAAAGTACAGGTTTTGTAATAAGGGGAGAAGTGGTCACAGTTCTCTCCCCTACCCCTTCTCTTAGGGGGAAGAAATAGCAATGTTTTTTTTGTGGAGAGTTGAACTAGAGAATAGCTCCTCCTACTGGATAAGGATGGGAACCATCAGTCCTATTTAACACGCCTTTAGGCGAGCTCCAGTGAGTCCCCAAGGATGTTTTTTTTCCCCACTCCTTGTTCAAATGAATTCTTTGCTTTTTAAGAAAAACTGTATAACACATATTCCATTAAACTCACCTTCTAAAGTATACAATTTGTGTATTATTAGTGTATTCAGAGTTGTGCAACTCTCACACTATGTAATTTCAGTACATTTCATCACTCCAGAAGGAAACCCTGTACCCATTAGCAGTCACGCCCCATTCCCCCTGCACAACACTGGTCTTTGGCAACCACTAATTTACTTTCCGTCTTTATGGATTTGCCTCTTCTGGACATTTCACATTAGTGGAATCATGCAGCATGTCACTTGTACTTTATTATCTTACTGGGGTTTCTGGAAAACCTACTTATGATCTATCTCAAAAATCAATCATTTCAGATTTATTACAGAATTTTTCCTCTGCTTTTTCCATTAATGGTGCATCATGAATATATTCAAGTACCCATATTAGTTCATCTAGAGTTGAAAGATGTATTGCAGATTTGTGAGCTTGTTGACAACAGAATTTGACTTATAAGAACAATGAAAGCAAAATGCCTGCCTGAACTTCAACTGACTTTGAAAGGGGTATGGCTGCAATATGCTTGACTACACAGATGGTTTTTGATTCATCCTCTGATTACAAAATAAGACAAACTGCTTCTAGTGTAAGTTAACTATATCTTTAGAAACATACATCAATTTTTCAGTGTTAAACCGTCTTTTAAACTTAGCCCATTCATGTTTGTACTAGTGAACCAATGATTTTTGACAGTCTGTTAAACACAATATTTAATCATAGCTTGCCTCCATAAATCATAAGAATCTAATAATGTTCTTTTATTTTTTTAGTCTTCTAGGCTATTTTAAAATGAGTGTTATTTAAAATGTTGACATGTCCTACAAACCTCTTGTAAAGCAGTGTTTAAGAAAGTGAGTTTTGAGGTTGATAAATCCAATAGTAAATCTTTAGAGAAACTTTTGCATATGAAATATGAGTAACTGAATAATTGAATTACAATAGATTTATGATAAGAAATGTGTTACTTTATTACCTTTTATAGTTTCACAATGTAGAATTTTCAGTAAGTATTTGGGAACCTTAATTTTCAGTAGCATTGCATTTTGTGTTTATAGTATTTATATGGGTGTGCATTTCCCCAATGAAATTGTATTTAATGAATTTTTTTACATATTACATCTTGGAATGATGAGTTAAAGTACTCAGTATAGCATGGTAGAAAGAGCATTGACCGGGCCTCCCCGGTGGTGCAGCGGTTGAGCGCTGTGCTGCGAAGCTGCCCGCAGCCTCTGCAGTGCTGGTTCGATCCCTGGCCGCTGGTGAGGGTCCCACATGAATTGACAGACCTCTCCTGCCTCCTGCTGCTCCCCTCAGCAGTGTATTTTGTTGGTCTGCCTGCTTTGTTCCCCGTTCTGGCTCTGGCGAATTCTCTCACCCTCCTGTGCTTCTGACTGTATCCAGTGCTTGTATAAATAAATAAATAAAAATCTTAAAAAAATAAAATAAAAATTAAAAAAGTGCACTCCTTCATCATGATTAAAAAAAAAAAAAGAGCATTGACCCTGCAATCAGATTGCCTCCATGCAGTGATTCTTCCCATAATAAATTTCTGTGTTCTCTAACATAGTATTTTTGTATGTATTATGTGGCATATACAAGAAATTTTATAAAATACAGAATTATTGTACCTAACAAAATCAGTGTCATGCAAACAAAGTTTTTAACTTCATGATAAGTTAGAGGCTAGAAAATGGCTCTTACTAGATTCTTTATCAGAAAACAAGAACAAAAAGATTTGTGTTGACTTTAACAGCATTTCTTCCTCTTTCCCGGAGACAGGGTTTTCCAGGTGACTTTGGAGAAAGAGGCTCTGCTGGTCTGGATGGCAGCCCTGTGAGTAAACTGTGATGGTCCGAACTTGCAGTCTAAGGCCAGCGCCACATTGGGTTTCCAGGGCACTATGCGCATTCCCCATTGATTTATCATATGGGCAATAAGCCCACAATGTCATAAAACAAATTTTTACTTGAGAGATGATCATTATATTCTGTTATTTGACCATGTTAAATGTGACTGTTTAAGTGAAGAATTAGAACTATCTGAGCAATACTGTATTTGGACAGGGTGGGAAAGAAGTCTTCATGTACACGAAGGCAGTAACAAGCCTCATGTAAAAGTTGTGAACTCAGAGATTGTTCTTCTGGACTCAGATTTGTTATTGATCTAGCTTTCTTCTGAATATTTTACAAGAAAGTCTTCTCCTTTGGGATTGTTCAGATAGCCGATCTTCATACGAGGGAGTTACCATTCTAAAATTAGTGTAATTACATTATCAAAGGATGATGGTACTTTGCTATTTTTTGAATGTAGGTAGAAATATCTTCAGTTTTTTCTCTCTGAGTGTATCCAATAGCTTTCCTCTAATCTATGTCATATAAGTATTGCATAAAAATTAAGGAATCTTATGAATTAGAATCAACTACATAATCCATATAGCCTACATTTGGAGTAGCTCCTATATTTAGACATGGAGTGAGTTAGTGCAAAAGACCATCACAAAACATTTAAAAATTAATATTGATAAGTTTAAAATCTCATATACATTATTTAACAATGTTAATAATTTCTGGCATTTGTATAATTGATGAAAATTTTCAAAACCTTTTCCATAGTATGTTTTTCATTGTGATCTTTACAACAATGAGAATATTTATTAATACAAATATAATTATGTATTACTGTTATTTTGTTTTGTCTGAGAAAACTGCAGATTAGAGAATTTAAATAATATGCTTCAAATGAGTTGATAGTGTTTTAAACCATCTGAAAAAGTTCTAACTCTGTATGCTGACAGCTGTCTCTTCTTAAAATACATAGGCTTGTTATGCCTCTGATGCTTATTGCTAGTAGAATTATTGCCTTTATTAGATATATGAGAGACAGAGAAATCTTCATACCAGGCTAGGGTGGTAGTCAATGCATTCAGAAGCATGGAGTCAGGGTCACCTTCAAAGAACATAACCTGCGAACCTGAGATTTTCACTTCTTAGGAGGATGCATAAGAAGGGTAGGGAAGTTTCAGAAGTTAGCTCTGAAAGAGGGTGAAATCTGATATTTTTTTCCTAGATAGTTTTGTCTTCAAATTTAGAAAATCACATTAATAGGTTAGAATCATTTATCCTATTTTGTATGTTTCTTTTATATAGGGACTTGTAGGAAGCATTGGTCCTCCAGGATTTCCTGGGCTTAGAGTGAGTATCAAATATTCTTAAAATATTTTCTTTTGTATTTATATCTGATAAATGTGTTTAGTGTCATTGTTGGGTATCAACCTTGCTCAAAAGTATCTTCTAGCCAGATATACATGTTAGACTGATAATAGTATCACTCAAAAATTAATCATACTACATAAGTTAAAATTATGTATGTATATACATATGCTATGTATAAATTTAATTTATGTGTGTATATATTAGACCAATCTCAATAAATGATATTTATTAAGGACCCAGTTTCCTCAAAAATATAATACATAGAATAGCACTTCAGAATAGTCTTTGAGTATATGTGCTGCCGAAGCGAGCACTTCAGAATAGTCTTTGAGATAGTCTTTCATATCAGCTGGTGCTCTCGAAATATACAGATAGGTCTAAATAAAAGCACATGGTAACTATACACTTTTCCTGATGGAATAAAGTTGAATACATGTTTAGGAAAACGATCCTGAACAAAAAGTAGGAGCTGGACTTCACCAATGACATTAAAAAATTTTAGTGCCTAATTTATTTATTGTATTAAAAAATGTAAGAGACTGTATTATTTGCCCACTGAATACATTTTTAAACAATGAATTCTGACTTTTACTGGTGTTTCTGATACAGACAAACTGCAGCTGAGGAAAAGCAATTCTGCAGAGTCCAAAATAATGTAGTCTGGATATGTAGCTTTCTGATAAAATTTAGATTATTCATTGGAGTGAAGACTGCTACTTTTGATCTTTATAAATTTATTTCTCTCAGCTAAGTTTTTGATTCTGACAGGGTATGAATTGCAGATATTTTATATAAATTCACATTCAGCTGAGCTAAAAGCAAGATTGACATATCTTTATGAAATGTAATGAAAATAGGATCTTATAAGTAAACAAGTCTATATCCACTCAAAAGTAGGACATGATCTGGGCAAAGTTAAGAATTTCCTTAAAAATCAATTTAGAGCTTGCTTGCTCAAACTTGTATGGTAGATAACTAAGACTAGAGTTTTATGTCATAAATTATAACCACAGGTTTTTTTGTTGTTGTTATTGTTTTAACCTTAAAATTGACCACAGGTCTTCTGACTTATAGTATTCTTTCCCCACCTTTACCTGTCCCAAAGCAGAAGGTGACAACTTGGCAAAAGGAATAACTTTGGAGTTTAGTTATTGGAACTCTGGTAAAAATCAGCATAACAAATTTTAACTTGCCATTTGGGGATGGCAAGAGAGTAGGATTAAGAGTCAAAGAATCTGAGTGTGCCTCGATATTTAAACTTTTCTATAGTAATATTAGGTTAGTAAAATAATAAAGTTAGCAATAACAGCTCATTTCTATCTAGTAATTTTTTATTTGCTAGTGATGTATTGTCAGGCTAATGAGCTTATAAGTGCTGAGCTGTATTTGAAGCCAGGTAACCTAAATCCAGAGTCCAGAATTTTACCTGTTGTGCTATGCCACCTCTTTAAAGCCTGTATTACCTTAAGATATGTATTATGTCTCATGATATTTCTTTAGGCTTCATGAGAAGCTCTATATGGAGAAAAGAACCAAAGGACCATGTTTTGTTTTGTTTTGTTTTTTCACTTAATTTTGAATAGGGTTAAACCTGTAGGTAGTATTCAGTGGTCTTATCAATGAGAGGGAAAGTAATAGGAGAAGGGAGTTGGACTCCAAAGATACTCTGCATTTTTCATTTTACCTATTAGCATTACTTTGATTAGCTCAGAAACTTCTGTTATTAAGCTTAATATTCAGATCAAAATTCTTAACATAGATCAAGATGTCTAGATTGGGTTGGTTCTTATCCACATCTTGGGAACATTCTTTGTAGTCTGGCAAAGATTTCCATCTGCAAATGCCATGCAGCCTCCTTAATTAATGCCTGGTACTTGTATACCTGAACTTCTCTGTTGCTACTTTTCTGCCTAACAAATGAGTCTGTCATTTTTCATTTCCAAGACTTTTTAGCACAGTGCCTGATCCATCACATTTATCAGTGAATAGTACCTGGGTCGTCTGTTCTCTCTTTCTGCTTTCGTAGACAGAAAGAGATTTTGTAGAAAAGAAAATGACTAATGAAATTAGCCATCATAATCTAATGGCATAGAAGGCAAGATAAGCAATATCATACATTGTAGCTACTGCTGTAGTGGACCAAAGTCAAGTCACTGAGAAGCAACAATTTGTGTTCTCAGCGATTCAGAGTAGGCTTCACAAAGGAGACTTTCCTCAAGCTTCGTGAAAACTGTGTATGAGTCAGGTGGCATGGGAAAGAGAAAAAGGCTCTTCAGGCAGAAGAATGCTGTGTTCAGATGTGCAGAAAAGAGGAAAGACAGAATACTTGGGAAAGAGGAATGTTGTATTGTGGCTTAGGAAGTCTGCGGGCATGGGAGGGCAATGGAGGGAGGTAAGGATTTGAAGGTGATTGTATTGCATAGTAAATTATCTGCCTGCCCAAAACTGCAGCTTCTGCTTTATCTCTAACATGTTCCTTCTAGCAAGTAGAGTTTGACAAAAGATGATATTACTCCTCTAAATTATTTCTGCCATGCACGTTGATATTGTGATTTGCTTTCTTAATTAAACTACAGAGTGATTATCACCTGTAAGCGTATGTGGGTGGGTCTGGTTGACAAGCTCAGTGTGGGATTCAGTCTTTTCCACAATATGCTTAACTATATGAGCTGTAACTGGCCAATAATGGCTACTTTTATATAAAGAACCTATCCTCGGTCTATTTCTTTGGCTTACTTTGATTCAAAAGTTCTCTATAATTTCTCACTGTGTGGGAAGCTCTTCACCTTTCATGCTCTATCCCAGACACCCTCAGCTAAGTTCCCATGCATGAAAGCATTTCTTCTGTCTACTCCATTGTTTCATGGAAGAAGAATGTGGTCTGTATGGAGTGCTGAAGTTTTCAGGTTGTGGAAATGAAAACTACTCTTACCCTATTGTGGAATGCTTCCAGAAAGCTAAAGTTTTTCAGGACTAGGCTTTTCCACACAATATTTGATAGTCAACAAAATGATGTTTTCTGGAAATTTCTATACCCATACCATTTTGTTCATTCTATATTCTACTAATTCCTTTATAACGTGAAATATTTGTAAAATATTTCCTTCTGTACTAACATGGATTATTGCTGCATAATTTTCATGCACACATGTCTGTTACACAGTTTTCAAAGTACCGTAAGTTTTGGAGCTATGAACTTTGAATAAAGTAGCCACTGTAACGGTAAGAATAATAATTTCCTTTTGACAGAATTTTTAATGATGTATTAATATTGCATATCTATTAAGTTGGAAAGTATTACTCTGCTTCTCATAGTTACTGCTATTTCAGGATTAGACGTGTTGGAAATACTTTATCTTAGATGTTTCACAGACTTTAGGATTCACTCAAAAGTAAAGGTGTCATAGTTTCCATTCTGAAATTTGTATTATATATTTATTAGAAATGCTCTGTTGAGAAATAGAGCTCTAGAAATCATTGTTTAAATCTTATTTTTAAAGTTGATTACTTTAGTATTCATTCCATACTTTGAAATTATTATGTGCCAAGTATTAGATCTGGGAAATTAAAAAAAAAATGAATAAAACAAGCTTGTGCTCTCACAAAATGACAAATGAACAAGACAGGGAAAAAGCTGACTTTTTCACCTTTGTTTCCTCTATACTTACTACAGCATCTGGTACATACTGTGTTCAATAAATGTTAAATGATGAATGAATGAGAGAAATCCAGACGAATAGAGCCTTTTGTTTACTACTAAGTTTATGTTCAAAAATTATAAAAATTTTCTTATCCTGTAAATTTCAAATAATGAAATCAAATCATTGAAATGTCTAATACATAGTAACTGTCCAATAAATATTTGCCCAAAAAAATGGGTAAAATAAAAATCTTAAGAAGCTCAAATAAAGTGTTTACTGAATACTTCCTGGGAACATGGCACTTAAATATTTCTCCTATCTTCAAATGTTATCTGGTTAGAGAAATAGTTCAAGGTGAATGTCATAGTATTATAGGTGCTCAAAGGAGGGAAGCATCCAGTGGACTAAGCCAGAATGAACAGGCTTCAAGAAATAGGGGATGAAACTCACTAAAGTTTGAAAGATCAGTATGCTTTATAAATGTATAGAGAAAAGAACTTGTTGCAGAACAAGGCACATATGGGAGCTTCGTGAAGGGAACTGTTCTACATTAATTAATTTCGCCACATTCTCTTTCTAGTCCCAGAGGAAGCATAATGATGCCTTTGTTTCTTACTGATTTTCAGGGCAGCGTTGGCCTTGTAGGACCAGTCGGGCCTTCTGGAATTCCTGGCCCAATGGTATGTTTCAATTTACGTAATGGACTTTTCCCTTTACATTCTCTCTGATGTCACAGAATCCCATTTTTTCTCTTTTAGGGTCTTTCAGGGAACAAGGGCCAACCTGGAATCAAAGGTGATAAGGTGATTTAAGTATTTACATTATCATAGAGATAGTTTATCATGTTTATTTTTTCTTTTGAGTTAGCACAACTTATCAAATATCTTGTTTTTATTTGTAGGATTTAGCTGTTCTATCTTTTATCAATTTTTTGTGAGAAGTAGGAAAAGTAGAGAAATCCTCTTTGAAAATTTCATATTAGCTTTATGGTCATATTCTGTGTCTGCCATGCTTACATGTCTGTGTGTGAACTTATGCCCTCTAGGGTGACCAAGGCATTGCAGGAGAGCCAGGAGAACCAGGGTATCCTGGAGACAAGGTGACTTTTTTTCCCCCTACCATTTTATATCAATACAAAAAAAGCCTGGCAAAAGTGTAAATTCTTTAAAATGAAAGGAGTTCTCATTATTTTAGTAATGTATTTTGTTAGATTGTTGTATCAATACGGTTTCATGTCTTGTTTGAAATGGTTTTCTCAATTTCTCTAGGAATACCTCTATGAGTTTTTTAGTAGGTTATAAATTGAGGCGTATCTACATTTTGTGGTATAGTAACTTTTCTCTTTCCTCTGCTATTTTCTCCTTTAGGGTGCTTTTGGTTTTCCAGGACCACCTGGGATGAGAGGGAAGCCAGGATCATTAGTACGTTTGGACTTTTGCTTTCTTCTTCCTCATTAATGGAATATGCACCTTAGCATCAGTCTTGATATATGTTCATATGAGTAGAATTTAAAAAGTAGGATATAAGCTACCAGTGTGACTTTTTCTCTTTTCAGTTTTAGAATATTGGTAATTCTTCAAATTTTCAGCTTATGTTCTGCAGACTATTGGGCCTCCCCTCTGGATCCCTCACCCCAGGCCAATATTAGCATTGGTTGTCAAACTAAGACCCTGACTTCTTAGATCTTTTTTGATCATGTGAGCATTTTTATCCTTTGATAATGATAAAAGGAAATGGAATGACACACTTCTAAGGCCAACACTAGCAATAAATGATGTCAGTATTATTCTCTTATGCCTTACAATTAATACCTTCAGAAAACTAGAGTCAAATACCATGTTTATATAAGGCAGACCTTTTAAATGTTTCCATTAATCTTTGATTCAGTTTATATTGATAACATTTATTGGGGCTTGCAGAATCACTAGGCTGAGAAAGAGACTTGGATTCTTATTCCAGCCCTGACACTAACCTGGAGCATTTAATCACCATGTATCCAGTTTGCCGCGCTTAGAATGAGAGACTATATCATGTTTAAGTTTCCTTGTGACTGCATTATTTTCCCCTCTTACTAATACTGCTTAATGTCTTTAAAGAAAATGCAGAAAGCCTATTTAACCTTTAACACCACATCTGAAAACCCTAATTTTTTTTCCTGGAAATCACCAGAAACTCTAGTGTGGTTCTAGCATCTAGGCCAGCGATGCTGGGAGCAGGAGATGGTGAAAATGAGGTTTTTACTTTCCCGTTTTTTACCTTTCTATACTATACTATGCTATATAGTATAGTATATATTACCATACTATATTACCAAAAAAAAGGCAGCAGGGTTGACGTTGGTAGGAGATAGTTGACCATTTCTTGTTTTATCAAATATTTGAAGAGTATGTACTTAAAGCTAAGGATAGGATAGATATTCATGAATGAATATTTGTGAGATGATCTTGTCTTAAGTTTCTCCTTTCATTTCTCTTGTTTATCTTATTAATAGAAAATATTGTAGAAGTGTGACTGGGAAATCTTTTCCTATTTATGTAATGAGATACCTGTTTAATGAAAAACTGCTTGTGGAGGATCAATAACTTAATGAAGAAATAAACTTCCATGCTCAATTACACAAGTTAATTTCTACCTTTTATGTAAGTTAGTTCCTACCTTAGACATGCGTTTGCTGCCATGGAAATTCTTTTTTTTTTTTTTAAATAATAAATTTTATTTTTATATTCCCCATACAATTGCAGCCCCCCCATTCTGACCTCAATCCCTCCCCTCCCACCCCCGCCCCCCTAAAAGTGTCTCTGGTTCATAGTTTTTTGTTGATTTTGATTTTCACTTTCTTATAGTTATTCATTTTCCTGGTCCCTTATTTAAGTTTTCTAGATTCCTGCTATGAGTGAGACCATCCGGTATTTTTCTTTTTCTTTTTGGCTTATTTCGCTGAGCATGATCCCTTCCAGCGCCATCCATGTTGCTGCAAATTGCATGTGTTTATCTTTTTTGAATGCTGAGTAATATTCCATGGTATATATGTACCACATCTTCTTGATCCAGTCATCTATTTTTGGGCATTTGGGTTGTTTCCAAAGCTTAGCTATTGTAAACAGTGCTGCTATAAACATAGGGGTGCAGGTGTTCTTTGGAATGGATGTTTCTGTGTCCTTTGGGTAAATACCTAGGAGTGGAATTGCTGGATCATATGGAAGCTCTATGTTTAGTAGGTCCAGAAATCTCCACACAGCTCTCCACAGTGGTTGGACCAGTTTGCACTCCCACCAACAGTGCAGAAGAGTTCCTTTTTCTCTACACCCTCACCAACATTTGTTGTTGCTAGTTTTTTTAATATGTGCCATTCTCACTGGTGTAAGATGGTATCTCATGGTAGTTTTGATTTGCATTTCCCTGATGACAAGTGATGTTGAACATTTTTTCATATGCCTGTTGGCCATTTGCATTTCCTCTTTGGTGAAGTTTCTTTTTAGCTCTTCTGCCCATTTTTTGACTGGATTATTTTCTTTGTTGTTGTTGAGTCTCATCAGCTCTTTGCAGATTTTTGTGATCAATCCTTTATCATTAGTGTTGGGTGCAAAAATGTTCTCCCAGTTGGTGGGGTTTCTCTTTGTTTTTGTTATTGTCTCTTTTGCTGTGCAGAAGCTCTTTAATTTGATGTAGTCCCAGCTGTTGATCTTTGCCTTCACTATCACTGCTTTGGGTGATGTGTCTGTAAAGATGTCTTTGATGTGCAAATCACGTAGTGTTTCGCCTATATTTCCTTCTATATATTTTATGGTTTCAGGTCTTATGTCTAGTTCTTTAATCCATTTTGAGTTGATTTTTGTGTATGGTGTGAGGTAGTGGTCAAGCTTCATTCTTTTGCATGTAGCGACCCAGTTTTCCCAGCACCATTTATTGAACAAACTTTCTTTGCTCCAATGCATAGTCTTTGCTCCTTTGTCAAAGATTAGTTGATCATAAATCTGTGGGTTTATTTCTGGATTTTCTATTCGATTCCATTGGTCTGTATGTCTGTTCTTGTTCCAATACCATGCCATGGAAATTCTTCACAGTCACAAGAATTTCTTTCTTGTTTTACTTCTCCTACATTTGTTTTGCTATTATTTAAGAATTCAGTGTCAACAGCATTGTTTCCAAATGGATTTAAGTTGTAACGTGAAAGTATATTTTCAATATAAAAGAAAGCCCTGATAAGGTTCTTATATTCTGGAATAGGGAACCTTTTGTTCTGTAAATGTTTAAAAAGAGAAAACTACCAAACTGAAGTTAGGAAATATTCTTTCTAAAGGCAGAGAAAGCAGCAAAGCAAACAGTTATTTTTTCTCTCCATTTTATAGCTCTAACATGCTTTTATTTATGGAGGGTTATTTAATCATTAGTTCTAGAAGGTAAAGAAAACTCAGTTTTGATAAAGGAAAATTGACATTTGATAAAGGAAACTTGGAATCAAAGGTATTGAAAATGAAGAATTATTCTGAAAAATAAGATCATTCCACAATTTTTGTTTATAATATCTAGTCGTCAGTCAACTTTTGTAAAAACAAAGTCTTAGGGTATGCTATTTTTCCCTCTCATATTACAGTTTGTAAATTAAGCTTCTGGTTTGGGTTTTGCCACCAGGTGGCTCTAGTGAGAATCCCATGTATCTCTTCAAGAGAGGTACTTGTCATTTTAAGGATTTTTAAAAAAATATTAACAGAGGTTACTATGAATACTTATAGGCAAACAAATTCAACAATCTAGAAGAGATGGACAAATTCCTAGAACAGATAATATTCCAAAGCTGGTTAAGAAGAAATAGAGCACCTAAACAGACTAATTACAAGTAGCAGAATTAAAGCAGTAATCAAAACACTCCCCCAAAACAAAAGCCCAGGCCCAGATGGCTTCACAAATGAATTCTACCAAACATTTAGCAATGAATTAGTGCCTATCCTACACAAACTCTTTCAAAAAATTGAAAAAGAAGGAATACTACCAAATACGTTCTATGATGCCAACATTACACTAATACCAAAACCAAACAAAGACAGCACAAAAAAAGAAAATTGCAGGCCAGTCTCCCTAATGAACACTGATGCAAAAATCCTCAACAAAATCCTTGCCAACAGAATCCAACAATGCATCAAAGGAATAATACACAACGATCAAGTGGAATTCATCCCAGGGGCACAAAGATGCTTCAACATATGAAAATCCATCAGTGTAATCCAACACATCAACAAAAAGAAAATAAAAACCACATGATCATATCATATCAATAGATTTTGAGAAAGCATTCGACCAAGTCCAACATCCATTTATGATGAAATTCTTGGGATAGAAGGAATATAGTTTTACATGATAAAAGCCATATATGACAAACTCACAGCCAATATTATTCTCAATGGCGAAAAGCTGAAAGCCTTTCCTTTAAGACCAGGAACAAGACAAGGATGTCCTCTCTCACCACTGCTCTTCAATATAATACTGGAGGTCCTAGCCAGAGCAATAAGACAAGAGATAGACATACAAGGAATCCAAATAGGGAAAGAAGAAGTAAAACTATCACTATTTGCAGATAATATGATAATATACATAGAGAACCCTAAAAGCTCCACAGAAAAACTAGTCAAAATAACCAGTTTAGTAAAGTAGCAGAATACAAAATTAACACACAAAAATCAGTAGGCTTCCTATACACAATTAATCAGAGGGAGAAATCAAGAAAACCATCCCTTTTATAATTGAAACAAAAAAAATCAGGGGCCTCCCTGGCAGCGCAGGCAGTTGAGTGCAGTACTATGAAACTGTCCACAGCCTCTGCAGTGCCAGTTTGATCCCCGCTGGTCTCGGAGCAAACCACATGGTGAGCAGACTTCTGCTGTCTCACCCACTGCTCCCCTCAGCAGTGTATTTCATCAGTCTGCCTGTTATGTTCCCTGCTCTGTCTCTGTTGAATCCTCTTATCCTCCCACGCATTTGGCCTGTACCCCAGTTCTTGTATAAATAAAATAAATCTTTAAAAAAAAATCAAATTCTTGGAAATAAACCTAACAAAAGACATGAGGATCTATACAAAGAAAATTATAAAACACTGTTAAAAGAAATAGAAGAAGACATAAAGAAATGGAAAGACATCCCTTGTTCATGGATTTGAAGAATTAACATTATTAAAATGGCCATCCTACCAAAAGCAATATACAGATTCAACACTATTCCAATAAAAATCTCAATGACATTCTTCAAAGAAATAGAACAAATACTGATGAAATTCATAATGGAACCGCAAAAAACAAAACAAGAATAACCAAAGCCCTACTGATGAAAACAAAGAAGAAAGGAGGTATCACACTTCCAAACTTCAAGCTATAATAGAAAGCAATAATAATTAAAACAGTTGGGTATTGGGGAAAAAACAGACACACAGACCAATGGAACTGAATAGAGAGCCCAGAAATAAAGCCACACTTATATGGACAACTAATCTTTGACAAAGGAGCAAAGAATATGCAATGGAACATGGACTGTTTGTTCAATAAATGGTGCTGGGAAAACTGGACCACCACAAAAAATGAAACTAGACCACTACCTCTCACAATGCACAAAAATCAACTCAATGGATAAAAGACCTGGACATAAGATCTGAAGCCATAAAATATATAGAAGAACATATAGGTAAAACACTACAAAGCATACATCTCTAACATCTTTAAAGACTCATCACCCGAAGCAAAGAAAGTCAAGGAAAAGATAAACACCTGGGATTATATCAAACTGAAAAAAGCTTCTGTACAGCAAAAGAGACATTAACCAAAATAGAGCGATACCCCACTGATTGGGAAAAAATTTTTGCACTCCATACAACTAATAAGGGACTGATCACAAAGGTATACAAAGAACTCACACTACTCAACAAAAACAAAGTAAACAATCCAGTCAAGAAATGGGCAGAAGAACTCAAAAGACATTTCTCCAAAGAGGAATGCAAATGGCCAACAGGCATATGAAAAAATGTTCAACATCCCTTATCAGGGAAATGCAAATCAAAATCATATTGAGATACCACCTTACACCAGTAAGAATGGCACATATTAAAAAAAAACTAGCAACAAAAAATGTTGGTGAGGATATGGTGAAAAAGGAACTCTCCTACATTGCTGGTGGGAGTGCAAACTGGTCCAACCACTATTGAAAGCTGTGTGGCGGTTCCTCAAACTACTAAAAATGAAGCTACCATATGACCCAGCAATTCTACTCCTAGGGATCTACCCAAAGGACACCTGCACCCCTATGTTTATTGCAGCACTGTTTACAATAGGTAAAACCTGGAAACAACCCAAATGCCCAAAAATAGATAAACTCATGCCATTTGCAGCAATGTGGATGGAGCTAGAAGGAATTATACTCAGTGAAATAAGCCAAAAGGAAAAAGAAAAATATTAAATGGTTTCACTTATAGCAGGAATATAGGGGAACCAAATAAGACATCAGTGTAAAAAAATAATAACAGTACAAAACACAACAAGGAAAAAACAATTATAAGTCAGACATCCTGCAGGGGAGGAGGAGGGGAAGGGATCAGAAGGAGGGAGGGAGGAGCACAGCGGACTGAGATGATGGTGCACAGGTGCATTGGTGAAGGAAACTCTATGGGGACTACACCTGAGGGGGTGGGAAGAAGCAAATATTGTTTAAAAATGAACAATGATGTAAAAATAAATAAAAAATATTAACAAGGATGTAAAACAGTGGTGCTTCATTAAAAATGAAAAAAGTATATATAAAAATGGTGAAATGTATTATAGCAATGAGTCAGTAAATAAAAGAATGACATTTCCAGATCAGAAAAAAATATTTGAGTCCTCTAGATACTATGAGGGACTACAGTGTTTGTTTTGTTACAAGAAGAAAACTTGAATGAACATTTGCATAATATTTTATTCTCTCTGCATTTGATTGCACTAGTTGTATCCTGTTTTATGGTCAGATATTCAAACATATTAGAAGGGAATTTGTGGTTAGTGGTATCTCTGTTCTGGGAATGTGGATAAATCCATATGGTATCTTGTAATTTTATGTAATACGAGGCCTATTTAAATCGAATCTGAAACTCCATAGAAATTTAATATAACAGAAAAAATCAATAGTTTTTCACTGGGACTCTGGTTATTTTGAAACCAATTCCTCATGTAGAGTTTCTTTCTTTTGAATCAAATTTTATTCTATCTCTGGGGAACACACACATTGTTTTTCTTGATTTGAGCACTAACCTCTCCAAATATCCCTTAAAAAACTTAAATATGCATTGTGTTTGTTTACATTTTCTTAAAGTTTTCCAATGATGGTAACAAGTCTTTCTAAAAAGTCATTACAACTTTGTTTGACATAATCTATTGAGTTTCTTTTGTTGTAAAGTCATTACAACTTTGTTTTTGCTTACCATATGTCTATTTTCTTTTAACAGTTTATTAAATTGTTATTTATTATTAAATTATTTAAATTAACATTTAAGTTGTTATTAAATGAAGTCTCCAACTTATTTTTATTAAATTATTAAAATAATTTTAAAATTAATATTTATACTGTATTTATTAAATTAATATTTATACTTTGACTTTCCCTATTTTAGGGCCAAGTAGGTGACCCAGGACCTCAAGGACCACCTGGCCCTCCAGGACCAGAGGTAAAATGTTGGTGGAAAGATAATAAATTTGACACTGAAGTCATAAAAATTAGCAATGATTCGTAATACATGTTTTTACATAGTAGGCTTAAAAAGATTACCTTTAAAAATTTGTATCTTTGTAAATAGTTTATTTTCTTCTGTTAAGAGTTATGTCACAGTGATCCCAAGGAAATGGAAAAGGTATCGCTACATTAAAGTTCAAGAAGATCTCAGCTAATTATTTATTTGTTCTTCACAACAATTATTAATACATACTTGGGGCTTGTAATCAAATTTTAAGACATGAGCACTACTGAATTTTTAATGCAAAATACTTCCAGTTTTTGCTATTGTACATACATCCTTTGGATTTCGTATTCTAGAATACATAGTTAAATTTGAGTACATATATCAAATTTGCTTGTATATTATCAGAAATTTTCACTTTGGCTTAATTTTTTTGGAGCAAGGCTCATAGAATATATACCTCTGAGATGAAATATTTAAGGTTTTAAAGAATTTATTGGAGTCAAAATAAAATTCCTGAAGCTCATTCTACTGCAGAAAATATAAGCCAATCTAAATACATATGTACCCATACACATCTAATTCAGAGATGCAGCAGTAAAGCTGAGAAAGTGAATTTGGCCTCAGAATAAATAAGTCAGAGTAAAGTAAGAAAGCAGCCCCCACTGTGTGAGAGCAGCAGTTTCTAGAGGTAACACTGTCCTTCTGGTGTCTCCCTCTCTGTAAACCATACCATTTCCTTGCTCCACAACTGTCTCTCAGGTTTGGCAGATTTATTTGGCAAATGCTGATTCTTATTATCTAATTTAAAAACACTTTAGGTATTGATGGTTGAAAAAACTATAATACTGCATTGTGCCTAGTTTATAAGAAGGAGCTTTTGGGAGGTAAAATAGAGCAATATATTGATGTCATGCTGGGAAGAAGAAAATGTTTTGAGTAATTAAAACAATTATCATACACTAAAGTAGTAATTAACAGATTCAAATATATTTATCTCTTTTATGAGTCTATATTCTTTTAATCATTTTCATGAAAACCATCCTAGACTGAATCTTATTTATCTTTTCATACTGAGGATACAGAACCTAATTGATCTTTTATTATCTTTAAAGGTTACCACTATGAATATGAATAATCCTATTATAACTTTAGTTACAGATGGTATGTGAGTTAGGAAGAACTGTGTCACCTTTCTATCAGTGGGTTTTAGAACTTTTTACTGTTTTCATAAAGCCAGTTTGAGATGCATAGCCTTGTTTTTACTTACGGTCTTAGAAAGATGTTTTTTCTCTTGACTTTGCTATTTTATGACTTGCCATCACTATTCAAAACATTGTCTCATTGTCTTTGATTTCTATACAACTAGTATAAGATATAAAATTCTGAGCTCTAATTTTGTCACACTGTGTCCATTCTTCTTTAACTACATTAAATTTTGGGCAGAAACTAAAGATTTAGCCTGTATTTGCCCTAGTTGGTGTCAGTCTATACTGAAAATGGAGTGTAACCCAAAGATTGTAATTTCTGGATCATAAGAAAGTAATACATAGGTGATGATCTCTGAGGCAACACTTAGCCAAATCTTAACATTAGGCTTTTAATAGAATTTCAATTTTAAGACTTGAAAGTTTAATTTAGAATTTATCCTATAGGCAGTGATCAAAGATTTTTTTTAAGAAGAAACAATTGTGTGTTTATATTGAGGTAACATCGGTTTGCAACTCTTTATATGGTTAAGAGTTATGGGATCACACCCTTCAAGTGCTAATGTAACACACCCACCACCAAAATCAAAGATTTTTAAGCAAACTTGTGTTTTTGTTATATGCATGGTATAGCAGGAGAAAGGATAAAGGAGAGTGAGGGTTTGCCTGACAAATTAAAGTCTATTTAGGAGGATAATGCAAGACCAGATGATTAATGATTAGGAGTGTAAGAAAAAAGAGGAAAGCATGGATTAAAGAAATAATTAGGAAATATAATTCATGACACTTGAACTTTTTGGTTTAGTTCATTCTGTTTATGAAAAAAGGAATAAAAGACAATTTTGATATTTCTTGGTGGAACAGCTTGGTAGACTGCAGGTCACCATTCTAAAAATAATAAAGAGGAGACAGAGGAAATATTCACAGTGACTGGATATAATGCTTTGATTTTGAATTTGTTAATCCTGTAGGACAAACAGGACACTGGTTTCATGAATGTATGGGAAATTGTAGACCTGAAACTCAGGGTAGGTTATGGATACATATATGTATAGTGGAAGCAATTGTAACAGGTGTGTGCTAATGCATATGCTTGTTTTGTTTGTTAATGGGCAGATATCAATTTTCTTTTTATTTTAAAGATTTATTTATTTATTTATACAAGCACTGGGTACAGTCAGAAGTGCAGGAGGGTGAGAGAATTCAGAGCCAGAGTGGGGAACAGAACAGGCAGGCTGACGAAGAAATACACTGCTGAGGGGAGCAGCAGGTGGCAGGAGAGGTCTGTAGGCCATGTGGGACCCTCGCCTGGTGGCCGGGGATCCAACCAGCTCTGCAGATTTTTTCTTTCATAAAAGGACATACACTATAGATACCCTCTTGCATTTGAATTTTTTTTCAAACTTACAAACATACCCTGATAATTACAGCAGGATAGTTCATAGAGGTCTTCACCTTTCACTGTTTTAGCTGCATAGTATCCCATTGTGTGTATATATCATTGTTCATCCACTTTCTCTCCCCTGTAAGGAAAAAACCTTTCCAGTATTTTGAAATTATAAGCACTGCTGCAACTTAAACTCCTAGAGTTGGAATTTCTGGATTAAAAAAAGTGTATTTCATTCTGTAAGATATTGCTAAATTCTTCTCCAAAAGAATTATACAATTTGTATTCCTATCAGTATTTCTCTGAGTATATTTCTCTAATTATGAGTGAAATTGAACAATTTTTCATATGTTTTGTTTTTCTTGTGAAAAGTCTGTTTCTATCTTTTCCCCATTTTTTAAAATGAATGTTGTGATATATATGTAGTTATCTTATATTCTCAATGGCTCTCAATTGTCCCATAGCCATTCGTTAAGCAAGCTATCTTTGCTTCACTCATTTTAAAATACCACCTCTATCATATACTAAATTTCCATGCTGCTTCAGTCTCCATCTGCATTTTGTTTCTACACCACTTCTATGATTGCCTATTCTTTCACTAGTATAACATGAAAGCTTTATAGTATGTTTTTAAAAATAAGTGACAAATATAATTGTGCATATTTCATTATATAACATAATGATTTGATATATACATAGTGGAATGTTTATTAAGCTGAAGATAATACAGTCATCCACTAAGATAGTGATAAGAATTGAGAATTTGTACCCTTGTGCCCTTTGACCTATATCACTCCATTTCACACTTTCCACAACCCTTACAACCACCATTCTATTCTGTTTACATGGAATGGACCTTTTTTTTTTTTTGGTTCCACATAAAAATTATAACATATAGCATTTGTCTTTCTCTGCTTGATTTAATTCATTTAGCATAATGCCCTCAAAGTTCATAGGTGTTGTCAAAAATTGCAGAATTTCCTTCTTTCTGGCTGACTAATATTCCATTGTATGTATAATGCAGTATATATACATATACATATCCCACATTTTCTTTACATATTCCTATGTTCACAGACATTTAGTTTGTTCCCATATATTGGCTATAATGAATAGTAAACATAGGTTTACTGATAGCTCTTTGAGATGTTGATTTAAATTCTTTTAGATGTATACATTGGAGGGGAATAGTTGTATCATTTTGTGATTCAAATTTCAATCTTTTGAGAAGCTAGCACATTGTTTCCCATTATGTCTATATCAGTTTGTCATTTCTACTAACAATATATAAGAGCTTCCTTTCCTCCACATCCTCACCAGTATTTGTTACCTGTTATCTTTTTTTTTTTTTTCAAAGAGGCATGTATGTATGTATTTATTTATTTGTTTGTTTGTTTGTACATGCACTGGGTACAGTCAGAAGCGCGGTAGGGTGAGAGAATTTACCAGAGCCAGAGCGGGGAGCAGAGCAGGCAGGAGGACCGAAGTACACTGCTGAGGGGAGCAGCGGGCGGCAGGAGAGGTCTGCGCGCCATGTGGGACCCTCCTCCAGTGGAGCAGCCGGGGATCGAACCGGCGCCGCAGAGGCTGCGGGCAGCTTCGCAACCCAGCGCTCAACCGCTGCGCCACCGGGGAGGCCCTCTGTTATCTTTTTGATAACAGCCATTCTAACATGTGAGATGCTATCCCATTGTGTTTTTTTTAAAAGATTTATTAATTTATGCATATAAGAACTGGGGTACAGGCCAGAGGTACAGGGGGGTAAGAGGATTCACCAGAGACAGATTGGGGAGCACAACACGTGGATCCACTGAAATACAGTTCTGAGGGGAGCAGCAGGCAGACAGGAGAGGTCTGCTGCACCATGTAGGTGAGCTCCCTGGCTAGGTCATACTCATGCTGCAGTGGCTGCGTATAGCTTCGTAGTGCTGTGCTTAACCCCTTGCACCACCAGTGAGGCGCCCATTGTGGTTTTGATTTGCATTTCCCTGACAGTGATGTTGAGCGACTTTTCCTTCATCTACTGAACATTTGTATGTCTTTTTTGGAAAAATGTCTATTCTTTGTCCATTTTAAAATTAGATTCTTTGTTATTCTGCTGTTGACATGTTTGAGTTATTCACATATTTTGGAGAACAGTCCGTTATCAGATATATGGTTTATGCATATTTTCTGTCATTGTGTAGGTTACCTTTCAATTTATTGATTGTTTCCTTTACTATGCAGAAACTCTAGATTGACATAGTGCTACTTAATCATTTCAGCTTTTGCCTGTGCTTTTGAAGGTCCAGATCTCTTCAGACTATATTACTATTATGATGACAGAAGCAGAAGAACCCAGAAAAACTAGTTAATATTGTTATCCAGTCCATGTGATTGCAAACTGTTTTTGATTT